TGTACCACATATATCTAAAATCAAATGTGGTAATAAATGTGATAAATGTGAAGGTGTGATGTGACTGGCAAGTCCCCGACCCTTGAAAACGTCTATGTGACGAAACGCATCCTGCAGTCACGTCACACCGTCAATCTGATTGAGTCTGTTTTAGACTGACCGGCCGGAATTTTGTTATATATCTTATATTTTGTTCAAGCACTTTTTTATCTAATAAACTATCCTAATTTACCACACTATGGAAGTACTGCCTTTTCTTTCCTGACTTCGAACGGAAGTTTCATAGGGACAGCAGCGAACCCTGTAAAGGTCAGGATTGTGAAGAGGACGGCGAATGACTACCTGCATCTTGGTGCTGTACATGGCCTAAAAACATCTGCGGTCCGGTGGGTACATACCCTAAAGGGGATTTATGCGCTTCCTTCTTTTGCAACACGAATTATCACTGAATGGGATACACTGACAGCTGCGGGGATACACTGACAGTTCTTCTGACTCTGACTGTTTGGATCATCTAGAATAGTCGGAAGAAGAATGGGAGATCGCACCATTTGAACACTTTGGTTGCTACAGACAATTTATTCTTCCTTTTTCTCTTTTTAATAGATTTTTCTACACAGTTTTTGAAACATCAATATATGACATTTATATTGCCATTGATATTTGTTGTATTTACATATTAGATGATATATCGAATATCACTTATTTTTATTATTTTATATTATACAAAGTTCACTGTTTGGTTTTTACTAGGAGATATACACAGCCACATTTATTGTGACAGTTTGTTTCACAGTTCCATTTGAGGATACATGGTATAATATTCACTTCGATCATATTATACGAAGTGGTTCACTGTTTGTTATATTGTGACATTTGTTTCATTTATTTGAGGATACATTACATATTTTTCACTTTGATCATAATATACTAAGTAGTTCACTGTTCATAATTTTTTTAAGAGATATTCTTATTATCACATTTAATTTTAGATATATGTGGTACAGATTTGTTGAAAACAATTCCACTCTTGCAAAAGTGTTTCATACATTTTATTTTGTTTTCACATAATACCGTTGAGGTTTGGAATGCACATTGTTGGGTGTAACACCGTGAGGCTGTTAGCGCTATACTGTTGATTGTTATAAAACTCATGCAATGCATGTGAATGAGAATGCATATCAAGTAGAGATCCCATTCTCTGCAATGGTGCTGGTTTATATCTAAGCACCGTAGTTTAGCATGAAATGGAAACTATATGGGCCCATTTACTCCTACACATGTGCATTACTTGGTGCAATGCATCCACACAGAACATTGTATCCAGCCTTAGGGTCAGTGGCGCCGTCCAGTTCCCCCTCCCCCGAGAAAATAGTCTCTCCCAACACCGCTCTGACTGGGCTGGACGGCCGCATCGCAACAGCAGCGGGTGCACAGCTCCTATCAGGTCCCGCGACGTCACTCGTAGCCGGCTCCACGGCATGTAGCCGCGGAATTCAGAGTAACTGATGCTGTCGGCTGCCGAGGGACACCGCTCTCCATCCTGAAAAAGAAAAAAAAAAAAAACTACTTACCTCACCGCTCTCCATCCTGAGTTCCAGGTTCACAGGCTGTAATCTTCCTGACTCCTGCCCTTTGGAGCCCCACGCTGACCTGCTCTTCAGCACCTTCCTTTGTGTGGAATCACAAAAGTCTGCTTACTGCAAGTATACCTTGTGTTGGAAAAGTTAACCCTTCACTTACTTGATTGCTATTATTTTGTAACTGATTGATATTGGAGATTAATTAACCCCTTAAATACCATAGTGTTAAATCCCCTTCTTTGCCTGGCCATTTTTCACATTCAGCGCTGCGGTACTTTGACTGATATTTATTCCGTCATGCAACGCTGTACTGAAATTAATTTTATACAATTTTTTGGGGGACACATAGAGCTTTCTTTTGGTGGTATTTAGTCACCACTGGGGTTTTTTATTTTGTACTATATAACAAAAAAAAGTACCCTAAATTTTGACAAAAAAACTGTTTCACTATAAAATGTTATGACACATCTATTATCACCCCAATTTTTTGGTAAAATATAAAAGTCGGGGTCACGTCGGGTAAATAGACACCAAACATGTCAAGCTTTAAAATTGCGCGCACCCGCGAAATCACAGAAAACGACCGCATCCAAAATTGGCCATAGGCGACACTTTAAATGCTTTTGCAGCTCATCAGTTTAGTGTTATCAGTGATTAATGGCCCTACAATTATTGCAACAATATGTAACATGTGCGGTGTAATGGGTGCAATCCTCGTTTTCGCACATAGGCGCACCCGACATGTTTGCGTGTGTATGTAAGGGGGCAGGGGACTTTAAAAATATTTTTTGTCTTTATTTTATGTATTTTTTATTTGTGAATATTTTTTTTAATGCTTTTAATTTTTTTTTAAACTTTTTTTTTTTACACTTGAAGGGTTTCTAAACCCTCCGTTTTTTTGCATATATCTACTGCTAGCAACCAGTAGATATATGCAAAAAGTTAAAAAAAAAACAAAAAAACGCTTTAACAGCAGTTTCCACTTACCCTGTCTTCGCTGCGCGCTCCCGTCCCGAGAAAACGAAACTGCTTGGGGCAGCCGCAAAGCATCTTGGGGCGGGCGCATGCGCAGTTCGGATTTTCGGACGGGAGACGAGGAGAGACCAAGGTAAGTCTATAGACACCGCTGGATCAGAAGTGCCTGCAAGGACAGAGGAGTCAGCGCTGGATCGGAGACCCGCTGCACCGCTGGAGGGACAGATGAAAACATCAGGAAAGAAGATCGGAATAAGAGACATCATTTAAGGTAAGTGCTGACATTAACATTGGGGGGAGGGAAAAATGTTTTTGCCTTTAATGTCACTTTAACTTTATTGCTATGACATAGGGGACTAAGAAATCCCCTATGTGATAGCCAATTCACCAAACAGGTCCTCTTTATGGAGACATCAGGGGTCTCCAAGACCCCTGATGTCACCTAGGGACCCCCAGAGAAGCTGATGAAGCAGAGATCTGCTTCATCAGCTTCTCTCCTGTGTTTTGCACCGGAGGAAGCCGGCTCCATGCTCCCTCATCACTCGCGACGAGAGAACATGGAGCCGACTTCCCGATTCTGCATTGTATAATGTATTGTTGGGATTTATAGTCCTCTATACAGTGGAAGAATTACCAGGGTCACATAGTTCCAGATGTGACTAGGCCCTAGCATTCTGTCACTTGGGGGTCCCAGATAGGAGGAAGGGGGCCCTGGTAAGCGCCGACAGTGCAGGTTCCCGGGCCCCCTACCTTCAGTCTGGGGCCCTCCATCCTTCACTCTGTGCCTGGATCATGTGTATCACAAAGCTCTACAGCAAAAAAACATAGTAATGTGCAATGTGGATGACAGACCCATTTTAATGACTCTGGATCCACCCCTGCCCACTAAATTAGTCTGCCGCTCTGGGATTCGAATCCTGTACACCGCAATCGTTGAGAGCCAATTTCATTGCGGATGGCATCGGCGCCTGGTGATATTCGGGAGTGTAGGCGGGATTGGACTACATGTCTCAACCACCGGGCGCCAATTACATCCGCAATTAAAATCAGCTCTCATCGGTTGCGACATGTAATCCACCGCCACCCACAATCTCCACGGTGTTCGGAGGAAATTACATCACTCCCAGCACTCTATGGTAGATAGCGGCACAGGAGGGAAAGAGGGAGACATTAAACCACACACTTCTGGCCCTATAGGGTTAGCAGGAGAGTTAGCCTGAGGAGGACCTTTGGGTTGGACATCATTCTCTGCTCTGGAAATGCTGGACTGAAAACTAACACTGGCGCTCTCCTGGCACTGACAGCTGACATTTTGAAGTATCGCATATTTTCACATTGCTTGTGTTGTGATTGCTAAATGATCACATGTTGTCACAAGTGTTCTGTGACCACCCACAGTAAATCATTGACAGTTTAACATGGACAGCAGCATTATGCTACCATTATAGATTTCAGTGCAGAGCGGTGCGACTGGAAATGCTGCCAAAAACACCTAAGAATTTTGGGTTTAAAGCCCAGCTCTAGCCATAACTTTTTTTGAAGTACCTGCCAGGGCGAAATAACGAAAAAAAAACATATGTAGCATATTTCTGCAATACATGCAGATTTCCCCATTTCTTATCACTTTAAAGAGCCTGCAAGTACAGAAAAATACCGGTTTATCTGCCAGAATGCATTCCACTCCTATGTCCTCTTGTGGGCTGACATTACACAGCAAGTCAAAATGAGTGGTTTCAAAGACACATTCTCAGATCTTACTGATGAAAGCTGCAGTGACAATATTGATCTAAGCAATTTTGTAAGGAAGATTCAGTACATTCAAGAAGACCAGTGCAACCTCGAGCACATGTGCGTGCTCTGGCTCATGACACAGGCAGGCGCACATTAGCATGCAGACGTACGTTAGTGTTCAGGTGTGTATGCGCAGCACCAAATGGCCTAAACAAACAGATGTACAACATGGACAGATTGCTAGATGGTCTTCAGCTAGTTTCTGATTACCTGAGACCTGACCTGCTTACCTCTGCCTGCCTACTGGATTCTGTCCTGTATCTCACTGCCTGGTTGTTACTGACCTCCGCTTGTGCCCTTGACTCCACTTCTGTCTCCTAAATTGACACCCTACCGCTCGATGCTACTGACATCAGCTTGTTTCTCGGCTACATTCCTGTCTCCTGTTGTGGTACCCCGGTGTTCCAGTGTCAGGTCCCGGCCATGTAGCCTATAGACATCTGGTCCAAGCACCTTATTGCTGCTCAGATCCTGTTAGGCCTGCAACACAGTTAGTGGCTTAAACAGCAGCTATGATTCATATTTGTTAATTACTTGTGAATGTATATCCTTCCTTTGTTAACTTAAGCTCTTGCAGAGCTAAAAGAATGATCTTGGAGATTCCTAGGTGCTCTGCTTTGAATTAGAATAAGGATACACTTTGTAATGTGTGCTACTTACTAATATAAAGTTTTCCTTTCTTGAATAAGAATGTCTAAAAAGTTGCTGCTGGTAGATGTGGACTGTGGGGTGGACGATGCTCAAGCTTTGATGATGGCTCTGGCAGCCCCTGAGGTTGAGATTGTTGGGATAACTTGTTGTTTTGGGAACACCACCGTTGAAAATGTCTGCAAGAATGTACTGCGTGTTCTCCAAGTGTGTAAAAGGATGGAGGTAATTCTTACATTTTATTTATAGCACATGATATGTAAAATCTGCCTTACTTGGTTAGCTTTTCCATTTCTTAATGAAACAATCAGGTTATTCCAGTGTGACCCACCCAATCATTCCCTGGAAAGTTTCAATGGGAATAACTGATCTCACCACGGGAGTGGAGGAATAAGTTGTAAGTGAATTAACTTTCAGCTTGGTTCACCCAAGTGTCATATTTGCTGCTATGGAGAGGGGAAATGGGAGGAGGGGAAATGGGAATAACCTGACCTACCAACAGTAACATCAGACAGCGGCTCACTGGTGGGGCCTTCCATAGACATTTGATCATTGCACCAATCTATTTAAAAAAAATGTGATTTCCTCTCTGTGGGTACTCAAAGATTTTTTTCTTTTTTTAAATTAGTGTTTTTAATTGAAATACCTTTGTCAATATTTATCATTTAAAAACTGCATTATCTTTGTACACAGGGCCAGCTACTGTATAGATGGTTTATGTCAACAGGTTTTTATTAAAAACTATACCATATGCATTTTCCCCCCATAAATAAATCTCTCCTCAGTGCAAAATTCCTTCAGTTGCAAGTTGTTTGAGTTTTCTCACATGAACTGCCTGTTTTAAATTCTCCAAAATATTTGAGTGATTCAAATCAGGGTTTTCCTAGGCCAATCCAAACCCTCCATTTCATATATTTGGACCATTCCTAATGTACGGTCGCACGACTTTTGTATATCGAGCATGTTGGAAAACCAGCCGAGAATCGTACGATTTTCGGCTGGTTTTTAACATGATCCAGAGATGACTGCCGAACGGGCCGGTGTGTGCACGCGCACACTGCCCGTTCAGCATTGCAGTCATCGGAAGCCCGCCGCTCAGGGGGGCGGGCTTGCGATTATCGCAGATACGATCTGCCTGTCCAAGATGGGCAGATCGTAAGACAAAAGTCTTGCGAGGGTTGTAAAGTATATAGGCACCTTTGGGCGCATGGTTTCAAAAGACCTGGTCTTTGCACATGTGTTTAATGGCAAACTGGATTCTTGCCCAAATGTTCTTTTTACAAGCAAATGCTTCTTTTTCTGCACACCTCCTAAATTAGTACACTCCCTATTTAGTTGTAGATGTAAGCACTTCGACAGCAACTGTTGGAATAGTAACCTGCAGATTCTGCAATGAAAAAGTTATTGGAGACTTCTTTGAGCATCAAATGGTCAGCTCTTGGGCTTAGTTTGCTGGACACATTTGCAGTCATCTGAAATCTGCACTTCTAATTTCCTTACTATTGAATATTTGATTTCAAATTATGTGTCGATCTGTTAATCCCCCCAGGCTGAGGAAGGGGATCTTGTGTGATGTCACATTCATGTCAATAAAGATGCATCATATCTGTAATTGGAGTGCAGGTGTTCTATTCATATCATGTGCATGTGACGGTGCCATCTGTTGACCACCGCTGCACCCACCTGCTCATTCTTGGATTGATCGGTCAGAAGTGCAATGGGTATATGGACTTCTGCTTAACCCAGTCAATCCCCAGATTCCACAACCTTCTTTCTGAGGGCTCATAGAGATCTATTGATCTTGACATGAGGAAACCCCACGTCAATAGCAAACAAAACACCAGGACCCTAGATATCTGAGGTTTAAATATGACGATTTCCACCTGCATACGCTCTAAGAAGATACAAATAATTGGCACCTAATGTGAAACACTTGATTTTAATTGCATGATTCAAAGTGGTGGTAAATAAAGGGGGGTATTTTTTTTTTTTTCAAACAGGATGGATCTCAATTTTCAGTTTTGTAATTTTTTACTTTAAATTTTTTAGATTCCAGTGTTTTGTGGAGCATCTCAGTCAGTTTTAGGAGAAATTAATCCAGAATTTACACATTTTGGAGGTGATGGGTTAGGAGATGAAAAAGACCCACACAGTCCAGGACTGGAGCACATACAAGAAGAAGATGCTGTCCATGCTTTAATAAGGATAATCAGTCAGCATGAGAACCAAGTAAGATGTTTGAATAACCTTTATCTTACAGAAGTGTGAGAGAGGAGCTGATATTAACATAATATCTGTATATGTCTGGACAGATGTGGCATATCCATCCAGCAGTTTCATCTATTAGGCCCATTAAACATAAATGCCAAAACATGGTAGCAAGCACTTACTAGTCCTTCCTAATGCTCGTTCGGCACTACTTGACACCAGTTGCTGGAAGACCGTAAAGATCCTAATGGTTCATTATACGCGTCAGTCCTCATTTTCTCTAGTGCTTCCCTTGAAATCAGGAGTCAGTGCAGTAAGTATCAGCAAACCCTACCCAACCATTATTTTGTATGTTGCTTTCATACGATCAGTGGATACTTAGCATAATTCACTTAATTTCACTCCCTCTGTCCTTTTAATGATTTGATGCAAGCACAATAAGAGCAGAGGGAGGTAGAAATGCTTCCTCATTTTTCACAGTAAGTAATGTGCAACAGCTACCGAACAACTGTCCATTTTTGTTCAGATTTTTGCTGAGATTACTTTTGCAGTTGCTCATGGCCCATACACTAACATGGAAAGCAATCAGATTACCATCGATCTTTGTATATGGCCACCTTAAAGTGACACTAAACTCAGGAGTTAAATCTTCAAAATGCATTCAACTACCTTGACTATTAACAAAAATGTATCTTGTTTGTGTATCACTCAGCTGTAGCTCCTCAAATCATCTCTGAATTGGTGCTGACACTGTCCTTCCTTCTGGAGGGTGGCTACTTATGCTCCCCATGGTCCCTGTGTGTGTTGTAAAGTAGTCACCGCTCTTAGCTTGCTACAATCTTGATACAAATGAGTAAACTAAACATGATATTGTAGTCCATCACAGGAGCGAGCTTGGAGTGGTGACTACTTTACAACACACACAGCGATGATGGGGAACAAAAGTAACCACCCTCCAGAAGGAAGGACAGTGTCATGACAAATCCAGGGATGATTTGAGGATATACAGTCCAGTTATACACAAATAAGATTAATTTTTGTTAATAGTTAAGATACTTGAATGCATTTGTACGGGCCCCTGTCAATGGCCTTTTGTTAGCATCAGAACTGCTTATTTCTCCATACAAATAAATGGTAATGAGGATGTAGCAGATTGATGCAGCATAGAAGGTCAATGCAGGTCAGAGGGAGGTCAGCTGAAGGTCTTTATCCCTGTACATGAACTCTGAAAGGTCTCAGAAGTGTCTCAAATTGATGTCAAAAGCTGGCTGAATACACCTAAAAGCACAATGCATTTTAAAACAAGTCCTAAAGGTGGTTGGCAGTACCATGTGTGCATGGCTTGTAATTATTTTTTTAACGATTGTGTAATCTTCTGAATATGTCTTCACACAGTGGACATCATACTGCATGGTTTAAAATCTACTGTAGAGTAACTGTCCATGTTCCTCAGAGCCACCAATCAGCTTCAGATGTCATGCATGCATTGCATTTTAAAATTACATTTTAGGAGCACGATGACTTTGCTGGAATACATTCTGATCCTGGAGTGTATGTTCCACAGCAAACCAACCTTGATGAATTCTGGGTATATATGCTGGGTGTGCGTCTGCACGCATTCTGGGTGCATAGTTCACTTGTTTGCATGAATGTAAATGAATATATTTTAGTAAATAAAGTTCATTTTAAATAAAGGTAGTAGTGACTCTACACCTATGGGCTTGTTTACTCAATAGTCCCTTGTTGCTTGCCTCCTATGGAAACAAAGTCAGTGCATCCAAATGTACCTGAAAAACCATTGGAGGAAGGTGAAGCAGGCTGTGCTCTCCCTGATTTAGGGCTTAAATTGGCACAAATACAGGCTTATAGGAATACAGTGTAAAATATGCCTGTGTTTGCAGCAACCGGAAGCCCCAATTGCTGCATTTTGTCTGTCCACAGGATTGTATGAACAGAAAAAGCTGTAAATGGGCCGAAAGCCCATTCCGCATACAGCATTTTCTGTCCATACAATCTAATGGACAGAAAAACACAGCAGCTGGGGCTCCTGAGCACCACAAACACCTGCATATTTTACACATTATACCGAATGGTGTATTTTGGTTTGGGGCAGTTGGCAGGGTCTCAGATGGGCTGGGCAGGATCTTTGGTGGGCTCTGCTGGCAGCTGTGCCCACCACAGATCCTGCCCAGCCCCCCTGAGACCCTGCAGAGCCCACCATAGACTTGCAGGTGGGCTGTGCAGAATATATGCTAACCTCTGCAGGATCCCTTTACCAGCAGTGTGATCCACTTACTTGCATGTCACTCGCTGCTGGACCTTACCTCCTTCACTGCCGGATCACTGGTGCTACGGCCACCCAGCCTTCTCCACCGCCCGACTGGCACTTCGGGACCGCCTTCCTCTGACACCCAACCAGAGCTGTGGGGATCCAGACCCGCCCAGTCCGGCTGCTCCTGCTCGATGAGGCTGCAGAATTCTGTGCAGCCCGGCTTGCCTGTTTTGGGGCCCTCCTGGAAATTGCCAGCCAAGGCAAACACCTTGTTACACCCAGAGTATACCTATGGTCCCTAGGATCTTTCAGCCTTATGTCTGAAGTGCCTTTTTGTTTTGTGTAAAGTATGTGATGGATAAATGTGACAGACATATCAGGTAGCAGCTGTTTAAACCGAGTCATTGATTTCTGTATTTATCTGTGATTAGTTTGTCCCTTTTATCTCCACGTTTTGTGTAACAAGATCAGTGTTGTAGCAGTGGGACCTTTGACCAATCTGGCTTTGGCAGCAAAAATTGACCCTACTCTTCCAAAGAAGATTAACAAATTATATATCATGGGAGGAAATCTTGAAGGTAATTATTACAGATTGCATGAATATTAATTTCACATTAATATAATGAATTATGCTGTGTAAGACAGGCCATAGACAAGCAGATACCTGGCAAACAGAAGGCAGAGGGACAACTCCCTGCCCTCACATGAGAGTTGGTACCTGACTCAATCCTTATATGACCCTGGTGCATGTGTAGTTTTCCAGTCCTCCACTCTTCTCCATAGATCTAACCACATTTCACCTGAGGAGCGTACAAAAGCAGTAGCATCACTCGCTTTTATAGAGCTATTACCATCTTTATTGCATGTGTAGCCCCTACCACCTTCTGTGTAGTTGCTGCTAGAATTTTAGTATTGCTAGTGCTGTAATCGGTCTAGCTAATTTGGTTATTATCTGGTTTATTCCACATGTTCTGCTGTTAATTGTACCTGCCTGAGTGGGGGTGTCTTGTCTCACCAGCCAATCACTGGGGGTTTCATGACCAGTGGAGCATGTGTGGGGGAAGGGCATATAAACTGATTGGCCAGATTATTATGACCACCTGACATTTGTAGGCAAATTAGCTATAATTTCACACTGAAGTTGCTAGAGGGCCAGACCATTATAAATAGGGAAGCAAAGCCGGAGGAGCCTTATAACTACTGGAGGTGCCAGGTGCTGATATCCATGTTCAGCTGTTGCTCTATTGCCGTGTCAGCCTGTTCTATTGATACTGCCCTGTGGACATCTGAAGGGTTTGGCAAGTCTGGAGTCTGTCCTAGTTTTACTATGGCTGTCCTAAGCCCTATACCCTCTCTCCCAGTTGATGTTCGCCAATAAAGCATTCAAAAAGGCACTAAAGTGACTGGCACCCAACTTTCTTGATCACACATCCCGTCACTGGCTAAGGATCTGCCCCCAAGTGAAATGTTGGCCCTCTCTGCCCTTTGGGGGTCCACCTCAGGCCTCACAACACATCTTCTACAAGCCAGGCACAATTGTGTTATTGGAGACTCTAGGATACAAACTTGAATATCCATTGAAATATCCTTTCTCAAACTTCTCTTCGTATTTCAACAACTAAATTCCTGTTAAGAATTCATAATAATCAACTGAAAACGAAATGTATAATAATGTCTGTGTTTTAGGTAGAGGAAACAGGACTGTATGTGCCGAATTTAATTTCTACCTGGATCCAGAAGCTGCTTATATAGTAACAAATGAATTTACATGCCCCATCTTTATTGCTGCTTTGGAGTTCACACGGGAACATGGCCTCGCAATGGTATGGCAACTCTTTTTCCAATCTTTGTAGTCCTAACTCTACAACTTACATACTTTTCTCATGATAATTTTCCTTAAAGCCACACTCCAGGCAAAATGATAATTTTTTACACCACACTGGGTATAAAAATCATTAAAAAGCTGGGTGTTATGTGCAGAGGGCGGCTGCAAAGTATACAAATCTTACCTTACAGCATGCCGTCCCCTCCAGACAATGCAAGCTTCCGGGCACTGAAGAGAAGGACAGCTGCGACCCAAGCTGTACATTGCTCCAGTCACACCACCCGCCCCTCTTCACTTTCCTCTATTCAGAAAATGGATTGTATTTTAAAGAATACAAGGCATTCTGTGATTTGAGGAGGTGGTGGGGATGTGGCATCATCTCTCCTTCTCCACTCACAAAATGTCTTGTCCGTTAGGTGTCCATTGATGGCTTTTGGGGCAGGTTCTGGGAAAACTTATTCCATTCTAGCGCACAAGATTAATATTCTTCAAATAAATTAAGTGGGGATGCTAGCAGCCTTGTTAGCAAAACAACAACGGATGCTACTCATTGGATGAGCAGCACAAACATGTTAGCAAAAATGATGCAGTTACCACAATGTGCTTCTGTGACTGCTGGGAAAGAAATACACATATGCTAAACCTGTTTTTCAATGATTGTGGGGTGCAGTGCCCAGTCTTAACCAGCCAAAGTTTTAGCAAGTCCTGTAATTAAAAGTTGACGTCTGGTTATTAAACCTTGATGCCTATTAACCTTATTACTTAACACAATTAACCCTTTTTCTTCCTCAGGAGTATTTCAGAAACTGGGTGGAACAAGACACTGACAAAGCCAGGTTTATGAAGAAGATTACAGCGAAGTTACAACAGAAATACGGCTTTGTTTCCTATGACTCTTACGCCATGGCTGCAGCAATTGATGAAAGCATTGTAACAGAATACCTAGAGTGTGCCGTGAGTGTGGAGCTTCATGGCAGATATGCCAGGGGGATGCTGGTGCTGGACACTGAGGATAAGTGGAAGAAACAGCCAAACGTTGTCCTGATGAAAAGATGTGACCTTCAAAAATTTAAAGAACGATTATGGGCTGCTCTGCAATAAAATAAATACAACTGCATTTGAATAATGAGCTTTTTTTTTTCTCCTTGAACTATATAGCTTGATGAATAATAAGCAAAGTTTTCATACAGTCTAAGCATTTCGGATAACAGGACCTGCCCCTCCTGAATTACCCATAAACAGGTTTCTCAAGTATACGTTGCATTAAAAGGAATGTTTTAAAGTCATATCAATCATCTGTAATTTGACTGATCTATATTTGGTTACCAAAATTAGCACTTTAGTTGAACATAACAAATATTTTAGAACCAGTGTAACAAGCTACTGGACCCATGTGCATGTCAAAGTGGTTTTTAATCTAGGGACTACAAAATGCATGTCCCCTACAGGATTTAATTCTGAAATGAAAATGTATGTACCCCTGATTTGTGCAACTGTTGAGAGAGCAGAGACTACTAGGTGCAATGGGTCAGTATTTATACTTTGTGCAAGGTCCACTTTAAGCAGACCCACGTTTTCTAGGTGAAATGGTTTCTGCAATACCCACAAGAAGCTTGTTTCAATATTTGTCTGGTTGGGTTATTAAGGAGAGTTAGAAATTTTTGATCAAGACTGCAGAAATGCAGGAAGAAAAGAGGAGTCTTCAGAAATATGCACCATCACCATATTCAACAACTGGCCACAACTAGAACACAAATTGGATAACGGGCCAGCAGGTGTGAAATTCCAGTTGCAGAAACAAGAAGTCACCCTACTCATCCCTCTATAATCTCTATGATTTTAGTACCGAGAAATTTGTTTGATTGAGGATCAAATCTCTTACTCCATAGTTTAATATAACAGGCAAATGTATCCTTTGGTTCATATCAAAAGTAACCACTGGTTACCATTGGTTGAGAAAATCTGCCTTAAGAAAAAGATACACCGATCAGCCATAACATTCTTACCATTGAGAGGTAAAATTAATAACATTGATTATCTTTTTACAATGGCACCTGGAAGTGGGTGGGATAAGATTAAGCAGCAAGAGAACATTTAGCCCCTGATGTTGAAGGGTTGGAAGCAGCAAAAATGGGCAAGTGGAAGGATTTGAGCGACTTTGATAAGGGCCAGATTGTGATAGCTAGATGACGGTCAGAGAAACTCAAACTACAGCTCTTTTGCGATGTTCCGGTCTGAAGTGGTCCAAGGAAGGAAAACCGGTGAACCAGCAACAGGGTCATGGGCAGCCAAGGCTCATTGATGCACATGGGGCCTGTGTAGTCCGATCCAATAGAAGAGCTAATGTAGCTACAATTGCTGAAAAAGTTCATGCTGGTTCAGATAGGTGTCTGAACACACAGTTTGTTGCATATGGGGCTACGTAGCCACAGACTAGTCAAGGTACACATGCAGGCCCATGTCCACTGCCAAAAGCACCTACAGTGGGCACATGAGCCTTAGAACATGACGCAATGGAAAAAGGTGGCCTGATCTGATGAATCACGGTTTTTTTTTACATCATGTGGATAGCTGGGTGTGTGTGTGTGGCTTACCTGGGGGCATCAGGATGCACTATGGGAAGAAGACAAGTCAGCAGGGGCAGTGTGATGTTTTGGGCAATGTTCTGCTGGGGAGCCTTGGGTCTTGCCATTCATGTGTACGTTACATTGACATGCACCACCTACCTAAACATTGTTGCTGACCAATACATCCCTTCCTGGAAACTATATTCCCTGATCACAGTGGCCTCTTTCAGCAGGATAATGTACCCCTGCTACACTGCAAAAATGTGTGTTGGCTTGGCATCCAAATCCCACAGATCTCAATCAAATCGAGCATCTTTGGTATGTGTTGGAATAATAAGTCCGATCCGTAGAGGCTCCCCACCTTGAAAGTTACAGAAATTAAAGGATGCGTTACTGATGGCTTGGTGCCAGAGTCCAGAGTCCAGAGTCCAGAGTCCAGAGTCCAGAGTCCAGAGTCCAGAGTCCAGTTCAGTCCATGCCTCAACAGGTCAGGGCTATTTTGGCAGTACAAGAGGGGATCTACTCAATATTAGGTGGGTGGTCATAATGTTATGGTTGTGTATATAAAAGTAAGAATTCGCTGTAAAAAAAGTAACCAACAGCCCTGTTGGCAAAACCAATGGCACATCTGAACACAATGATCTTTTGAAGACCGATTCCACAGATTCCATGTATTACCACTTGGATCACTTAATATAGCTCCCCTTTTTTTCTTTGCAACATTTATTATTTCGCTGCATTCACTTTTTTTGTCAGGCAGTAGGGTATAATGTAATATTAGGCTATTTTAAACAATCCTCTTCTGTATTGAGGCATATACTGAACCTTTTTGGATTAGAGTATATATATTTGTTTCTTCAATAATATTCCGTAGTTTGCATTTGTAACTCTGTGCACTTCTATTTGTAGAAAATTGATAACTATTTTTTGGGGGGGGGCAATTTATAAATCTCCAAAAAACTAAAAGCATTTATTCTTTCTGGAATGAATGGGTGATGTGTCTGGCAACACCTGTTAATACTGGTAACTATAGGTTAAACTGCCATCACTGAACAGCAACAATATTTGTCTAGAAGCTACCAGTAGGGCCAAAATATATCCTGCCCATTCCAATGGAAGCAAAAAAAAAAAAAAGAAGTCAGGTTTTCTAAATGGTATATATTGGCATGATGTTACCTACAAACTGCCCAAATTAAAGTAGTGGTATCTGACAGTGATTATGTATGTAGGCAGGAAGATGAAGGGCCTGAAGTTGAAAGAACCCCCCCAAGACCTGATGTCTATAACATAAATATTCTCAAATGAACTCGAGTGCCAGAGGAAACTTGTGGTGTCAGAAATATTACCTTGTGATCTGCATTTGAGGATGATCGCTTTCAATTTCCCTGCAGTATTTCAAATATGTATTTAGCTGTGTGCTCAGAGATTTGCTTCAAGATGGAAATAAAGTGCTTTTCTGAATACTAAACGATTGGTAAATGAGTTTTAACATTGTGGTCCCAAGGCCTCAAAGAGAAAACCCTAACTATATGCATTTAGTCTTTTACTCATTATGTGGCCCCTAAACATCATCACTGCACACAGTTGTGTCATTTCTGACACACACAGCATTTGAAGGAGCAGAGGTTGTAGGGTAGACAACCTACTCCATTTGAATCCCAATGAAACCATTAAATTGCATTAATTCATTCACCACATAAACATGAAACATAACAGAGCCCTTCGTGAAAAAAAAGTGCCTCGTTTATTTAAATTACAACGCAAAGTTGTATGACTTGCTCATCAAATCCTGTTTTTTGTTCCACAAGATTTCACAAAGAGCATGTAAAATTAATATTTAAAAAATGTACTCTGCTACAGAATTAGGGGAACAGGAAAAGCACTGAGCAACCCAATATGAGCATTCACAGAGCTCTTGGCTGCAATTAACATTTTGTTCATGAATACAAAACAGTTACTTTTAAAAGGAAAATTGAATTCATAGCTTTAACTGCTATGTATGCCTTTAATTTGTCTTTCCTTAGAAATATAATACTTGAAAAATATGGTCAATGGGGGGAAAAAACAACGTCTTTTAAGGGCCATGGTATGATTTGTATAAGTCATGGTTTATGGGACATTTGAAAAATAAATAAATTTATAATGAGATGGTAATTTGTACCCGTGATATTCCTTAATATTTCGTTATGCTGATATTCTTGTTCAGAATAGGTTTGTGCATGCTCAAATTTTTGTTCATGAAGAACCCAAACCTGGAAAATGTGAGGACTAAAAATGATATTAGGAGCTCAAAGCGGGCAACAAAAATAAATAAAAAGCCAAGGACAGACAATGACTGGTAGAAAGAGGGACAAAGTGTCCCCTTGGAAAATAATTGGCAGAGATTGCAGCAGTAACACTCCTATTATGACTGTAGATTTTTAGCTTGATCATTATTTATCTGGTGGAAAATGTGAATTGGACCATGGATCAGAACTTCTCCTCCCGATGGTTGGGCTCCATATACTCCATGGATCATATGTCTGTCCAGTCATGCTGTCAGGGCTGTGAGAGGCAGCTGCTGAAGGAGAGTTTGGGGCTGGGCATGTGCTTTCAGTTCCGATAAGATCAATTCCTGGCAATGGGTTGGAAGGAGCGGTATATGGAAGAGAAGTGTTACTGGACCAAATGGAACTGCTGAAGGGATTGGACCACAGGCTACCAGTGCCAAGGATAGACTGCAGAAAAAAAACAAAAAAACACAGCATTAGGTTATAAGCCTTACCACAAGTATTACACTACAGTTGCTCTTAACATGTCTTTAAAAGGTATCAGAGGCTTAGTCTAATAAGACAAATGCATCACATTCATAGGCGCTCTACTACTATAAAGAGCTAACATGACAGTCATTTTTAAAAATTAGCCAGTGTACCTATGAAAGAAAAGTTCATAAATTGAAAAAGCTGCATTCCTTTCTTTTTTTTTATCCAAAAAGCTCTATTGATCATGGAGGATGACCTCTCCCACCAGACTCCAGTTCTCCTCCTCTGATGCTTTTATCAAACAGTTCAAGAGTGGGGTGGGGGAACATTTATAGTTACACAGTTCTCATAATCCTCAATTTTAAAAGTACATCAAACGTGTATAAAAAAATTACATGAAGTGAAAAAATTCCCCCAAAAGTATATAAACCATATTACAACACACTCACTTAACTGAAAGCTGTCACCTAAAAGCTATCATTAGAAATCTAAAAGTATATAAGTATGTGCGCCTCCTAAACAAATTTACTGAGATGATTGTTCAGATATGACTACTTGATTGGTCTTTAGTTATAACCAATGTTAAAAGGCGTCCATAATGCCCTGATAATATTTACAAGAATGTTGTTGATACATAATAAAAAAAAGGAGGAGTGGGGAAAAAAGGGAAGAGAAAAGGAGGATTGTTAATATTGTTAGTGCATTTGAATTTACAGATTAAGAAATAGGAAAATACAAAGAAGGAAGAAAACAAAAAGAGGAAAAAGGAAGAAGGTAAAAAGAGAAAAGAGGAAAAAGGGGGAGGAGAAAAAATATGGTTTTGGTACTCACCGTAAAATCCTTTTCTCTCCGTTCATTGAAGGACACAGGGGACAGATCGGAGATCATGTACTGTAGGGT